TAAAACTGCAAAATAAAGGGAAAAAGCCCCCAAGAAACAAAATAATAGGACTTACAAATTCAAATCAATAAAAGTGTTCTTCAAAGTCACCTTAGGAAGTTATCTAGCTATTTCAATTCTGCCACTTTTCAACTCTTTTATGTAATGTTCCTTTTGACATTTTCTTTAAAGGCAGTTCATGAGATATACAATAAAATCAGCCTCAGTGCCTAATAGTTTGAGTTTATGTTTTGGCAAAAACAGAATTCCCCAAAGTGCTTACCTATTTTATTAATCAGGTATGACTCCATATGCCTTTTGGCTGTTTCCCAAAATAAAATTCAACTTCAAAAAATCAAAGTTTGCCATTACCAAAGCCATTGAAAAAAGTGCTGCAAACACTGAAGGCAATTAAAAACAAAAAAAGGAAGGAAGGAAAGAAAGGAAGGAAAGAAGGAGGGAAAGAGAAAGAGACACAAAAAACATTCCTCCTTATGCAAGGGCAGCTACATTAGGACAAGAAAATGGGCCTCCACGGTAATGACTGTGAAAAGAGGACATCTTCTGGATTTTAAAATTTGTTTGAGATTTGTTTCAAAGAGTCCCCACCTAAGAATCTCAATGTGAGATACGCCCGACCACATTTTATTCTACTGCTTTTTCGCCAGCTGGTAATTCCCTTTCCCTGAGTAAGCTAGGGCAATATATTTGCAATTCCACTGAAATCTTAATGTTAATTATTTTTCTTACTGAAAGTAGGAAAGAATTTGAGTTTAAACTGGGCTCATATCTAGTCATCTTACTATCACCAGAAAAAGGACTAATAAAAATGGTTTTTTAAAAAAGCCCCATCTAAAAAGATGTCTGCTTTATAAAGGTTAATTGTAATAGTGAGTAAATAAGCATTTTAAACAGTACTGATTGTAGCTTTTCAACAGTATCCAAAGCCTTTTGTTTCATAACATCATTTAAATTCTCAATCTCTCCTCCCAAAAAGGAAATTTAATTAGGAAAAAGCATATACCATACCTGCATAAAAGTCATACATTTAAATTTACATTAAAAACTTCTTTGGAAAGTATCTCTGTATCCATCTTACAAGTTAGAATGGCAATCATTAAAAAAATCAGGAAACAACAGGTGCTGGAGAGGATGTGGAGAAATAGGAACACTTTTACACTGTTGGTGGGACTGTAAACTAGTTCAACCATTGTGGTAAACAGTGTGGTGATTCCTCAAGGATCTAGAACTAGAAATACCATTTGACCCAGCCATCCCATTACTGGGGATATACCCAAAGGATTATAAGTCATGCTGCAATAAACACGCATATTTATTGCGGCACTATTCACAATAGCAAAGACTTGGAATCAACCCAAATGTCCATCAGTGACAGACTGGATTAAGAAAATATGGCATATATACACCATGGAATACTATGCAGCCATAAACAAGGATGAGTTCGTGTCCTTTGTAGGGACATGGATGCAGCTAGAAACCATCATTCTCAGCAAACTATTGCAAGAACAGAAGCAAACACCACATGTTCTCACTCATAGGTGGGAACTGAACAATGAGATCACTTGGACACAGGAAGGGGAACATCACACACCGGGTCCTATTGTGGGGAGGGGGTGGGGAGGGATAGCATTAGGAGATATATCTAACATAAATGACGAGGTAATGTGTGCAGCACACCAACATGGCACATGTATACATATGTAACAAACCTGCACGTTGTGCACATGTACCCTAGAACTTAAAGTATTAAAAAAAAAAAAAAGAATATAAGCACTCACGTTAAATTTCTGCTTATGGTTTTGGATTTAACCGTAGTTATGTAGGACCAAGGATCAAAAGACTGTATGAAAACACTAGTTTTTACAATGCTACTGCAATAAAATTTCCTCTAAGCTGATCATGTAGAGGTCTCAGTTGCCAATGTTAAACACCGTGGGGTTTCCAGATCTCCAGTGGCCTCTGTGGAATGAGGCAAAACAGGCAGGAGAGACTCAAGAAGGTTGCACTAGCTTCCGAAATGGCTGAAAAATGAAGTTCAAATTCTGGGCCACAACACTCAAAGCCCTTGGCCACCGGGACTCAACTAACTCCGAGACATATTCTCCAACTGCCCATCTGTTCTGCTATGGCAGCACCTATGCTCCAGTCACATGAGGGCTGTTACAGCGTCAACTGTGTTCTCCTTTCCTAGCCCATGTCCCTATGCCTTCTCTGCTTCCCCAGCTGGCAAACTCTTAATTATCCTACAAAACCTCAGCTCCACAGGGGTGAAGACCTCCTGAACTTTTGAAAAGAGTTAGGCACTGGCATGCACAGGTGCTATGGAAGAACCTCTCAAATGGCACTTAAGACCCTGTTCGTATGGTAAGAGAAAGGGATTTAGTGTCCTTGTGTCTGCATTGTGCCTGGGACATCACTGGTGATCATTATTAAATCTTGATGGACTGAACAGTTGAGACAATAAAGTAACAGGATTGGTTATGAATATGAGATCCAGAATGAGACCATCTGGGTTCCAACCTCGGCTCTACCTCTCCCTGCTATGAAATCTTGGGCAAGTTACTTCACCCCTTTAACTTACTTCATGGGGTTCTTGGGTGTGTTTAAATAACATAATCCATAGAAAACGCCTAGGGACATCTGATATATAAGCATGCTCTAAATGTTAGTTATTATAACACCACATTCTCATTCTCAAAAATAGGAGATTTGTTTTTAAACCAATGAACCAAACTAATATAGGTTGCTGGTGGGCAAGAGAACACTAACCATGGAAGACATGGTTATCAAAGAGAAGATGTCAGAAGAAGAAAGAGGGCAGGAAGTTGGCAGGGAGAAATAAATACACCTGAGTTAAGGGCTCAAACACAAAAACAGAAAACAGTAAGAGGAAACAGAAGTCAGAAGTGACAAACATTTAAAATGAACAGACAACCGAATGCCATTTTAAAGTCACGAGATCAACAGAAGAAAGAAAACAATCACAGGGCCTTAAAGCTATGTATTTGCTAAAAATTAGAATTATTTATAAACTGCCATCATTTCTGAATCTCACCACTGACTATGATGACCACTGTATGATGTATGATGACCATATAACCACATCCCAGATATTTCAGATGTGCTGCGTAGATTACCTATGTCAGAACCAAAAGCCCCCTTTAAATTTATTTACTCATGCACTTCTCATTTTGAGATAATAATTGGCTCCAGGAGAAATGAAATGAAGTTTTATGCTCAGATTCTAACATAAGCTTCAGAAACAAGAGAAATAATACTAAAAGAGTTAGTACCCCTAGAAGGAGGCACAAGACCTCCTTCTTCAAATCAGTGCATTTTCAATGTGGTAAGTAAGCGCTACAACGTGGTACATTATCAAGAACACGGAATGTGAATGGGCAGCCTTAACAAGTTGCTAATATCAAAACTACCTATTCTGGGATGTCAATGAGTCTATTTCAAGTGGCAATAAAATGTGCTCTTATTAATGATGCAAACAGGAGATTAGAATATTAACATAGTACTTCAAGGAGCTGTAGCTTTTAGTGAACCATGTGTTCAATCTGATGTCAATCACAACTGTCGGAAGAGGTAAATCAAAAAGACAAAGCTACTACTGAAAATGACAAAAGTAGATGTATCTTTTAATGTTGCAGAGAGTAAGTCCTTTCTCAACCAAATTACCATGTTGTCCTAATAATAAAAAGCCTTCTTTATGACTAGAACCTTAGTTTTAAACCTTAGGACACCTTCCTCTTGAACAGGAAGCCTATAAACCACTCAGCTACTCTACTGATTGCTGGAAAATTTCTTTAAATACGCTAGCATTTAATTAGCAACATCCACTTATATTTATTACAGGGAGAGTGTCAGGATACATCAGGCTAATGACTACAGCAGGAGAGAGGAAGGGGAAGTGGGGAAGGCAGTAGGAGGAGGAGAGGCGACAGAAGCAATAGAGCCGGGATTTTAAACAACTGTAAGTGGTGATGACACAGTGGCCTAGGACATAGCTCTGGGACCACCATCTCATTTTAACAGAGAGGGCAAGGAAGGTGCCTAGAGGTTAAATGACTTGTCCAAGGTCACAGATCCATGGAGACCTCAGGACAGAGACCCAATGGAAAGAAAACTTTTGATCAAGACACAGACACCTCAGTCATCCGAACCCTGCCAACAGAGTGGTGATCTATAGATGCGATTTCCTATTGAGTGAAGGCTGCTTTACCTTGTTTCTGAAGTTGATTCCTTGGTTTAGTGGCTTTATACCACCTCTGTATTGCACAGAAAAGGGGAACCTGGACATGGCAGAATAAAGAGCTCAAGCAGCTGGGCATGGTGGCTCACTCCTGTAATCCCAGCACTTTGGGAGGCCGAGGTGGGCGGAGTGCCTGAGCCCAGGAGTTCAACACCAGCTCAGGCAACATAGTGAAATGCTATCTTTACAAAAAATACAAAAATTAGCCAGGCAGGGTGGTGTGCACGTGTATTCCCAGCTACTTGGGAAGCTGAGCCTGGGGAGGTGGAGGATGCAGTGAACCACAACTGCACCACTGCACTTCTGCTTGCATGTCAGAGAGAGACCCTGTCTCAAAAAGCAAACAATAAAAAGTGAGAGAGCAAGACTCAGAAGAGTCTGTCGTGTCACCTGGGGCCTTGCACTCCTGCACTGTGCCTTGAATTTCTCCCTCTCTGCTGGCTCCTTCTCTTCTACTTATAAACATGCTCCATTTCTACAATTCAGAAAGTAAACACTCCTCCTTGAGTTCTTACTTTATCTTCAGGCCTGTTCCCTCAGTCCCAACCTTCTTGAAAGCATAGTTAGTGCTCACTTAGGTGCAATGTGCCTGCCACTCAGTGCTGCACAGAAGATCGGCATGCACAACTCTCCACTGCCATCACCTCCTTGGTCCAGGAAGCCCTCCTGCCTTTCTTCTCCATTTACTGAAATTCTGTTCATCCTTCCATGTTCACAAAAATGCCACGATTTCTGATTTTCCTAGTCAGAATATAACTCCTTTCTCAGTAATCCTGTGTATTTTCCTTGTACCTGTAAATTGTGAAAGTACTCATTTCACTCTACTTTCTATTCTAGTGAGTGGTGTTCATGCCTGTCTCCCCAAGAAAACTGGAAGCCTCTTGAGTTAGGGCCATACCTTATTTATCACTCAAACGCTCACTGCATTTAAACCTTCTTTGGTTCGAGTTTAACTGGCACCAATTTATTCTGGATCTTCGTATTATTGTTTTTAAGATCTCAGAGATGCAGTGGAGATAGGTCTTAAGCTTTGGAGACCCTACAAGGATCCCAAACTCCAAACGCTCAGATAACAGATCCCTGAAATGAAATAGATTGAGTTTAGAATAAGGAAGAAAGATAAGAGAAAGGTAACAGAAATTGAATATATATAATCTGCTATGATAGTATTTCATATTTCAGGCCCCAAATGCTGCCATGAACCACCTTAGCTTTGTTAAATTGGTAAACAGGTTAGTAAAAAATTGAAGTATCTTAATATTGCCAGAAACAGGCCAATAAACAAAGCTGTTTCAGTGTAAAGGGGAAAATGCAATGGCTGAGAGGAAACAAAGGCAAACAGAAAACAGAAGAGGTATGGTGGAAGAGACAGTAAGGCAAGAGAGAAGAGGGGTGAAAAAAAGGATGTCAGAGAAAGTTACAAAGCATTTAATCACTACAGACACAGGAGCTAAGTGGTCTGGACAAAAGACAAAAGAATAAGGGAAGGACTGCAACATCTGCACCATGCAGAATGACAGACTTCTGAAGAGGACAGAGTCCAATGTGAGTGGCGGGATTCTGGGTGGACGGCGCTGAGTCTGTTATCTCCTGAAACGTGTGAACTGACCTAGATGCTCTTCCCACCTCTTTGCTTCCCCATCCACCACCTCCGACATGCTGAGGAGTAGAATCAGAAACAGAGCCCTGGCAATGGCTTCAGCTGCACAGCTGGTCATGCTCTGAAGCCAGGACAGACTGGGCTCAGGAAAGAGGCTGTTCGACTACAGAACAGATTCTCCCATTAATCAGGAATGCTCATGGGAGGAAGAATCGGAGCCAGTCAGCTACTGGTCTGGATATGGCTAATAATTTCTCTCTTTGGTTTCTGGAGGATCTGTGCCAGGGTTTCTTCCAACTGCACACAGCAAATATGATTTTTCTTCTGTATCTGAAAAACTGGCAGCAAAAATACCGAAAAGAAATGGGACTAGGGCCAAAAGGGTAAGCTTAAATGAAATTAGGCTTAAACTAAAATCAAATGACAGGTCAAAAAATACTAAACCTGTGATGTCTCTTCCTTTCAGAGGACAAATGCAGTGTTGTAATAAGAGTTATATCTTATGTCTTGTTTTCTAAATTCTGAATGTGTTTTATACTTATGGATACTTTCTGATAATCTGTTCACAGTATCTTTATTGATTGTTTGCAATCAAGGAACCGGTCATTCTATTCTTAACTCCACATGCTACCTCTCTCCTCACAAGTTTGCAATGGCAATAAAGTTCCTATTCTTTTAGCATATCATAAAAGTTATCTTCTATAATTTAGGTTCCTCAATGGCAATAAAGTCCCATTTTTTTTAGCAAATCATGAAAGTTATCTTTTATAATTTAGTTCCATAGTTTCAATCCATTATTATTATTAATTATCATTATTATTAAGACAAAATCCCACCCTGTCACCCAGACTGGAGTGCAGTGGTATGGTCTCAGCTCACTGTAACCTCCACCTCCCAGGTTCAAGTGATTCTCCTGCCTCAGTCTCCTGAGTAGCTGGGATTACAGGCACACCCCACTATGCCAATCTAATTTTTGTATTTTTAGTAGAGACAGGGTTTCACCAGGTTGGCTAGGCTGGTCTTGAACTCCTGATCTCAAGTGATCCACCTGCCGTGGCCCCCCAAAGTACCGGGATTACAGGCATGAGCCACTGTGCCCAGCCCCAATCCATTATTTTTTTAAATCATCAGACACTCATTAACTATCCCCTAGGTGCCAGGCACCGTCTCTGCTTTCAGAGGATATTGGCAGGCACACAGGAAAATAAAATGTGGTATGATAAGCACACAGACATAGACTAAGTATAATAAAGTCCTACCACATGAGTCCTCAGTTAGGGAATGGAGGAAGAATGATTTTAAACGGTATGGGTTTCTCCACATGCTCTGGAGTGTGCATGAGATATGACACTCACGATCTTTCATGTCCCCCAGCTAGCCTTGGTTCCACTGGGATTCTAGTGTGACAATAATCATGCCTGAAACGGTAGATGTATGTAGTGAAAAACTTACAGAAAGAATCTCTGAACAATTTTAAAGCGAAGCCAAGCAAATTGGGATGTGGGTTTTGTTGACATCCCTGGGGAAGAAACAAAAGCCTTCTCCAAAGGTCAGAGAAACACAGCCTACAGAAGAGACAGAGGATTAGATAAAACAGCAGGAGACAAAGCTGAAGAGCTGGAACCAAGAGCTACCAAGGCGGAATTTTCAGTTTTACTGATGTGTTCCAGGTAGTGAAACATTCTAATGACTTGATTTCCAAAAAGCATCACCATACGAAGAAAAGGACTCAGAATCACTTCCGTCTCCAGTGTACTCTCAGTTTCTCAGCAGGTAATTTTGACTCCCCTTAGTTTTTTCTCAGTCTTACCCATCTTAGGAAATGGTACCAACTGCTTAAGCCAGAACCCTGGGGTCACTCTGAAGTCTATCCCCAACCTCACCCCGAAATCCAACCTATTTGAGCCCTTTTAACTGTATTTCCAAATGACACAGAGAATCTACTCCCTTCTCTCCAACTCCTCTGCTACCACCCTGGTCCAGCTACATAGCAGTCTCCTGGCTGGGATCTCCTTCAGTGACCTAAATAATCTCCCTGATTCTACTCTAGCTTCCTGCTACAATCCATTTTCCATATAGCAGCCATAGTTGATCTTAAAAAGGGCATCCTCTCATCTCCATCTGAAGCTTCAAACTCTTCCACGGATTCCCATTATACTTAGAATAAAATCCAAACTCTTTACCATGTTGTCTATGTAACTGAGCCCTTCCCTACCTCTCCAGCTTCCTCTTCTGCCCCTCTCCCCGACACTCACTCAATACACTACAGTCACATCACACCTTTAAGTCCCTCGGGACACAAAACTCTTTCCCCCATACTGGGGTCACTGAACACAGACAAGTTCACTCTGTCTAGAATGTTCTTCCCCGAGCTCTTTGCACAACCAGCTCCTTCTTACCTTTCAGTCCAACTTAAAACATCAGCTCTTCAGAGAAGAGACTTTCTCAAGCTATCCTACCTCAGTCTCAGCACCCTGTAAGTCAACAGCAATCACATAATTTTATTTTTGCCCCTTAAGACTGAAAGCTCGGGGGGACTAGAACCTTATCTGTCTTGTTTGCCCTGAATCTAGCACAGTGTCTGAACAGAGCAGGTGCTCAATAAATATTTGTTGAATGAATGAATAACAGATTAGGGAAAATTAAGTAGGGCTGATAACTACCCTATCCAATGTAACTCTACAGAAAAAACATATAAACTTCAGATAAAACAAGCTTTTGTGTGTCATTTAACTTTTAAGGCTACTTTTGAGAGCTGCACTTAATTTTGAGGCTATAAGGATTTGTATATAACAGCACTGCTTCTTAATATTTCCATATCAGAACCAGACAAATGGCCTACAGTCACTGGTAAGATGAGAGCAGAGATACCAAAGCATGAAGGCCTTCAGCAGTGAGAAAGGCATATGGTACCCAACTGAATTCCCATTAAAAAAGGTACATTAGGGTGTGCTGCTATTATTCAAAGTCTCAGGAAAAGCTCAGAAACCTATTGGATGTAAAGCAGGGAAAACATGAATGTATGAAGATGTCTCCAGCTTACTGTTATGATATATATATTTTAATTAACAGAAAATCGGATCTCACTGTTTTATTTCTATAAAGTTTAAAAGTGACCCTTTGCTAATGATAAATGACAATATGGTTGACATATGAATAGGGCTGAAATAGAGCACCCCCATCCAAATACATACACTTTACAAGTACATGTAATGAAACTAGGTTCTCTTCTCAGCTATAGAAGAAACACCTTCAGGCAGCTGAAAATTCAGATGAAAATCCAAAAACTATGCACAGATGAAAGAATTGGAACATGGTGACTAAGCCAACGAGCTCAAAATCAGAGATCACTGCATTTTTAGTACACATCTGTCGATATGCACGTGTGTAGGTACCTAATTTTACAGGCAATTTGTATTTGTGTGGGATTCTGTTTGTCTGCTTGTTGGTTCTGGGCTCCCTCTGAAACAACAAGCCATTCAATTAGGCTCTGCTGTGGCGCACAGAGAAGAAACATATTGCTTTTGGCCTCACAACCGTCCTTTCCCACTTGTGTGAAAAGCCTGTGTTGACTGTACTGTGAAAAAAATTAAAGGACAGAAAAGCCCTACTGTTGTAACTATGCCAAAAAAGTATAAAGAAACAAACCCAGATGCTAGAATTTGAGGCATTTCCTCTGCTATGTGACTATGTCCTTTAGCTGAAGGTCAAAGGAACATTAAAGGGCTTAACTATTTCAAAGCGGTTAAGTGTCTATTTTTCGTGGCCCTCTCACTTTATGCATGCAGGTGACATGTATTTCACTGACATTTAACAAGCAGAATTTATTCAGCAGCATTCAAGGAAAATCCTAGTATCGCTTTCAAACATGATTTATTTGTATTTCTAGCGCTTTACATTAATACAGATTGGTTCATTTTCCTGACAGCCTGAGTCCCCCCAAAATGCCAGTAAGTGAATAAAGTCATTCGTAAGCCCATTCCACATTTACTACCTCCTAATCCCTAATGTGTCTAGGTGCTGTAATTTTATAACCTTTTTCCTGGGGATATTCATTTAGTTTTGATGCTGAAGATAATAGTAACTAATGTGAGATATAATCATTTTACTTCTCTTCTTAGGAAGTACTTCACATAAGATTTAAAAGACCTGAAATGTCTTCTCTGATAATAGGAAACAACAGTACCTCGGCTCATGGGAAATATAACAAAATCAATCATGTTACACTATGTTAAGCAAACATATATCAAATGGGCCACCATTCGTATATCAAATTTAAGATACCAAAGATGTATGAATTTAAGATGTATAAAATTGTGTATATCAAATTTAACACATAGCAAATGGGCCACTATTTAAAATTCATTTGTTTTAAATAAGTCTGAAAAACTTTGCTATGAGTCATATGGCAAAAATCTTGATAGAAACGTTAATATGATTGAGGAATACACAAATAATACAAATGCATGAAGCATCAAAGTTAGTATGTGATTTAAAAATCCCTCTGAACTGAACAGTGACAGAACTCAGATGTGGCAAATATTTCAATAAAGAGAGCAGTGAAATACAGCCAAGAACTCCCACTGCTGAGCTCTTGATGGCCAAATATGGAGGCTTCTCCAAAACACAATTTCACTTGGGCTGGGCTGGAATGGGTTAAACGCAGAAATCTGGTGACTTAGATTCTATGGTGATCTTTACCTTTGTCCTCAGTATTCCCCCTCCCTCTGCCCCACCATTTGTAGAAAACTGAATCTGCAAGTTAACAGCTATTCCCCTTTTGCTTACCGGAGTTCCTGGTTATTTACTGAGAATGTTTCAAATAATTCTGTTGGGCGTCATCACAGTTACTAGTGGACATACCATCTAATCATGACCCGTAGCAGCTCCGATCTACCTAAAGGGAGACAAGCTTTCTGACTTGTTGCTCTAGAAATGTCAACAAAAGGAACGCAGTTTTCAACTTTATCTCTCATATTTCCTTTGAACTCGATAGGGTCAGCTTCACTAGTGTGCGGGAAGCAGATAGACAACACAATTTAATTGCAAAGTTGGGTGCGGTTGTTATAGTGATAAGGGAAATCAAAGTGGAAGGAGTTTGAATAATATTTATTTGAAGAGTCATAGCTTATCCTCTATAAGCTATTTACAAAGTGCATAATATTACATCAATTCTTAGAAACGAACCACTGGAATATATCTCACGAGTTAAGAGTCTATAACTAATTTGCACCATTAAGGAAGACCAAAATTCTCAGGAAACTCTTAACCAGAGAATGTAACACTATTATCAGCACTGTCATATTTACTAGCACACAGGTAACTCTACACACACACACACACACACACACACACAAACACACACACACACAAAGAATAAGATAAAAATAATCACATGGCTGCACTTATTTCCACATATTACCTATATCATCATGGATGTATATGTGCTTATATACATACAGCTATATAAATTCACACATGCGTATGGGACATATTTGTATACAATGTTCTTCTGGCATACAAAGCAGAAAAATACAAGTGACATGCACAATTTTTTTCAGAAAATGCATTATTTCCTATGCATATGAACACAGACTATTTATTATAAATCCATATAAAATGCACTCTCCTGACTAAAGAGGTTTAATTCTTGATATATCAAAAGGACCCCCAAGGGCAACATTATAATAAGACCTGTACTTAGACATACATGAAGCCAGGCTGAGAGGCATGAAAGAATACATATACAACATTTTTGGGAGTTCCATGTTGCAATGAAGTGTTAACACCACACAATAATTGTATTTGAAAAATTCCAGATGAAACAGAAATCAGGTCTCAATCAGAAAGCATTCTGAAGGTCCTACTGTAATCAGCAATCAAAATGCCAAAGGGCACCAAGAACATGTAAATAGAATAGTATTTTCTTTTTAGTAACAGAGATAAATGTCACTTTAGATGTTACATGCAAGATATTATTTAGGCAGTTTAAAACCCTGACTAGTACCCAGATCTGCGTCAGACACAACTGAGAATGTGAGAATTTGTCTCATGCCTTAAAAAAAGTCAGCAAGCAAGGTCCTCTGAGGTCACAGCAGGACCACCATGGAACAAGTCCCAAGTTCCCTCCTCACTGTGGCTTCAAGGATACTTGCAGAAGCCACTTTAATGCACCCTCCCATGAACTCAAACTGCATCAAAACACTGAAACAAATGTCTTTTCATGTACACTGTTGCAAAAACACACCTCTGATATTTATAAAAAGTCTGTGAGGCAGACTGGACTTTTTTTTTCTGGCCAAAGCAGCAGGAACAGTAAACAACAGTCTTTAATAGAATATAGATACGTAAACAAGATCAGAATGTGTTCTAGGAATCTTTAAAGTGCCCTTCTATTAGAGGATAACCAGTGTTTTCACCTATCTTTCTATTTTCAGAACTTTTCCTCTTAATAACAGAACATGGGAACACATTTTAAAGAGAAAAAAAAATTTACTTTCTAAACTGGGTGAAAGGACAAAAATGAAAACCCTGACAAGGACAAGATACAATAGTGGCTCATTTTACTTATAAACAGTTTTCCTCTATGTCTGTAAAACTTGGATTTTATCTGCAGACAAATAAATGGATATATTAAGAAAAAGACACAGCAATTTTTTAACATTATTAAATTCCTGTATTGTTCTTTTGTTATTGGAACAGGAAAAGAAAGGCCACTGATAAGGAAAAAGCACTTCATTTGCTTTTCGGGAAACTGAAAAAAAAAAATCCCAGTGACAGAGAAAAGAATAATGAAGTGTAGGAAAACTAGGAAGTTGTCAACCAGAAACAAACAAAAAAAAACACATCCTCGATTTAGAGGGACATTCCAGCTCCTTAAAAACTCACACAGACATTAATTCATGTCAATTCCTTCCCTCTTCCAACTTTACAGGCACCACTTACTGCTGTCACCTCCTCCTGATGCAGAAAACACTTAGCAAGAGAAACCACGAATCAAAAGCAGGAAGGCACACTATAAGAATATATCCCTACCTTTGCACGTATCATCAACCAATAGGAATCCATTATTCTTATCTTAGAGCATACGCACCATTAAAAGAATGGTCTTATAGGTTTTGAAACAAATTATTCAAATGCCCCAGAACAGTATGCTTAGTGAAGGTCAATATGAACTAGGGAATAAGTCAAATTATATTATTAGAACGTTTCTTTAAAAAAACTTAAATATTTAATTTTAGTGCTCTTAAATACCTTTCTTGAGAAAGTTATAGATTTCACAAAGAACGAAGAAGTGCCGATTCTAGAAGTAAACGTGTCTATAAATCACAAAGTAGCTTTTAAACTGATTAAAGTTAGCTCTGATTCTTATTTAGCAATGTCTTCCAGAATGTCTACCGGGCATAACACTATTCAGACTGGGTATGGCTGCTCTACCCTCATTATAACTCCTTGTGTATCTGATCTCTCCTACTAGACTTCTTAGGGCGAGGTCCTTTCCATATTCATCTCAAATGACCCCATGCAGTGGACCAGCCCCAGGACTATCCTTCCCAAGTGAGCAGGGCTCAGTCAGGAAGGTGCATCATTGACAGTAGAAATCCTTGCTCCTTCCTTCTGGATTGAATTCAATAGGAATTTCACAATTAGGATTAAAATGTGGGGATGCAGGTAGAAGTAACACTCTGGGGTACAACCAATCAAAAAGGGTAAACAATTTAAATTTTTTCCTAGATTATAGTTACTGATAGAAACGAGAGAAAAATGATGCTGGGCTTCTGAGGTGGAAAAAAACTAAAAGAATAGAATAGGAAGGGCATAGACAGAAAAAGACAAATTTGGCAACCTTTACAATTTTCATGTCAGGTTAGCTTTAGTAACCTTCAACAAGAACTGGAGGAAAGTAGAGCTTTGCTTTGAGGTATATTTTTATGTATGTGGTATGCATTCAGCCCTGCTTCCTCCCATTAGCAAAGATTTTCTTTTCTTTTTCTTTTTTAATTAAAACCCTCTTTATTTAAAGGAGCTTTTTTTTTCTCTGAGTATCTCTTAATCAAGATACTAGTAAATATATAATACTGGCAAGACAGGTGAGTACAAAAAAACACAGTGTCTAATAGAGGTTCCTTACCTATAGTGATAAAATTATAAGAACATTTGAAATGATCACTTTTTCACTGCCTGTGAGTTTATGCTAAAGTGGTTATGCCCCTAAATTCTTTCTTGAACTTCCCTTGCACAGATTGCACAGACTTTCTTTTTTTTTTTTTTTTCATAAGCAGGACATAAACTGTGCAGCTTGGTTGAGTTGTCCACAATCCCAGATCGTGGTCTTGGAATGCTAATTACACTAACGAACGAGGTTTTAATTGCCCGACAGCTCCTGCTTATGCAAACCCTCCGGTTGATGGAGACAAGCTTGGGGCTGCAGCTCTGCTCTGCAGGAGGCGGAAAACCCCTGTGGACACAGAAGGGACAGCTCCAGCTCCCCTTAGAGGGAAGGGAGCCCTGCCATGGGGAGTGGTCTCCATGCACAGCAGCCTTTGCCAGCAGCTCAGAAGGCCTCCTGGGCTGGGATTCCAGATCCTTTCTCATGTCAGGAAAAACCTTTGTGGGGGCCAGGGCTTAGCCGGACACAGCTGCGCAAAGCAGCAACTCAGCAGCTCTGTGTTACAGAGCACATGCCGAGCCCTGGGAAAAACAGAGAGGTCACCTACAGCCAAGTCAGAAACCACAGACACGCGCGGGAGTGCTCGGGGCTCCCCAGCAGTGAACATGTCACCCTGCTAAGGTCAGTCATCAGACCAACATTTTTTAAGCATCCCGGGTAGGTGGAGTTTTAGGCGTGGCCCTCGAGAACACCGTTTATCTGGCTCAAAGTGGCAAGTTGTTTTCGTCCTTGTAATATTAACAATAGTCTCTTTTAAAAACATAGAGTAAGTACATTCTAGTTAATCCTGAAATAAAGCCCAGATGTAGCAACACCTGCTCACCTACAACTTTTGGTGCGCCTTTAACCAACCTGGGATTAGGTATGGGAAGAGGACAGAAAAGTGCTTGAACTAGGCACATCTTTGGACAGAAGAGATGGCTTCAAAGCTCAGAGTTAAGAGTTAAAGCAAAGAAAAAGGCGAAAAAAAAATCCATGAATGAGAGGTATAGAAATTATTACGCTGTTTACAGATGACTGTATACAAAGTATCACTCTAAATGTCAACTGGAAAATTTGTTTTTTGTACCAATCCTTTTTGTAACCTAATGTGTAGGAATAAAAAGGCTCCTTTACACTCACACTCCTGTTGGTAACTAGATGTAAAATATTTAATCATGACTTTTTTTTTTTTTTTTGATGGGCAAAGAAATCACAACAACCAGAAGGTCACTGTATGACTTCCAACAGTTAAAATGCAGGTATAATTATTCAATCAACAACTGCTCCTCTCCAACTGGTCTCAAGCCAAGTTCCCTGAGTTTCCTGTTTTTATTTCCCAGATAATTTGAAACTGGTTTCTGCCTTTTGGTAACCCTTTTTATTTTCCTGGTACCAGTTATCAAGACATCAAAACAATGATTTAAAACATGTTTCTAAGGACAATTCTTCCCAAAATTTGTATCTATAACAAAAAAGTTTTAAATATTGATTTAACTGTCAATGTAAGTAAAAGTATACTACTTACAAAAATATGTAACTTTGTCTACACTTTCTTTCCCAATAACATTGCTAGAATTTAAAATGAAACACACGTACTTACATTTTAAAGTCACTTTATATATCTATGTTTACAGATATATATACACACGAATATGGGTATGTGCGTGCGCTTATATATATATGCTCCAAAAAAGAAAAGACAAAGAATATTGTCAATTTGTGTCTTTACAAAGAGACTGGGATAAGATTTAAAGTTGCATAATGGTCTTACTGCCTTATAAACAAGTACCTTTGATGGCACTTGGGAAGCTAAAGGAAAAATCAGCTGGGACCTTGATGATAATGAGATCCCTGACCCACCCGGAAGGTGAGGTTAAATGTGTTTTCCTTTGGTCAGGGGAAGGGAATTCCAGATCCTGTGCTCATGTCAGGAAAAATCTTTGTGGGGGCCAGGACTTAGTTTTTCTACACTTGATAAGCAGTGTTAACTGGATTCCCCTAAAATAAACTTTTTACACAATTTATATGAGCTAAAGCAACACATTTACAAGCATAGTATCACTTTCAGATGTAACTAGCCTAAGAAAACTAGAATCTATCACAAGTAAGTTTAATGAAGCAGCTGAGTAACTTAAAATTTAGGAATTTGTACACATGAACATCCTGACGCAAAGAAGGCATGGTCCTTGCAATACAGAATGCTTGGTTTCAGGATAAATAAGAATCAGAGTTTGAGAGGTTTCCTTTGTTTTTTTGGGGGGGTCAAATATTAGCACAGTTATACTAAGAAGACTTATCAAGTTTAAAACACTAAGTCCTGGCCCCCACAAAGGCTCTTCCTGACATGAGCAAAGGATTTGGAATTCCCTTCCCTTGACCAAAGGAAAACACATTTAACCTCACCTTCCGGGTGGGTCAGGGACCTCATTATCATCAAGGTCCCAGGTGATTTTTCCTTTAGCTTCCCAAGTGCCATCTAAGGTCACATATTCTACTATCAATGAGTATATTAACATCAGTTTGGAAAGGCCAACAGCTTACCCCAAAATCCTTTCCCTTAAACTTCATAAACCTTATAAAATGTACACAACCCACCCATTTCCATCCTCCCTCCAATGGAACAGTTACAGTGGTGATCATTTGTAACAACTGTCTTATTAGTTTAACTCTGCTATATAACAGTCTCATAGTAAACAGCAATTATATTTTTGGAGAACATATAATTTAATTTTTAGTGTATCTGATTCTGTGAATTAATGATTATTTCTACTACAGTCAATAACATATTAGGAAATATTTTGAAATAATGGCATTTAATGCCACATAGGAGATCAATGTAATTGCCAAAAAAAATCCATAGACATAAAGTTTTAGATATATTTGTAAAGTTTAGCAAAGACCAAATGGGTAAACCTATGTAAAGGATCAACTCTATTAAAAGCAAATGATTTTTCCGGCATCTGAGTCCCAGGATTTGTTTTGTCTCTTATCATGTGGTCCTGTATAATATGAAATATTTCATTTTTAACATTTACTTGAGAAAAAAAATTTAACTGCATAATGAAACCATTACCATTACCATTACTATTTGAAGCAAAGCAATGTATAAGATATGCTTTTCTAAAAAACAATGAAAGAAGTAATGGAAATCAAAATTAGGTCCAGTGACTACTTGAAGATAGGATGTTCTCTGAAACCAGTACAACAAATCCATTTCTCTGTGCAGCGAAGTCGATTCACATAAACATTCTGTAACTTTTCTACTCAAACTGTGGTGAAAATGGGCAGTAACAGCTTCTCCTGGGGCTTGCTGGAAATGCAGATTTCCCTAGCCCTAGTCAAGTCCTAGTTAAGCAAGCTCTCTGTGTGACCATCAAGCTCTCACAAGTTTGAGAAACGTAGGAGACACCCCCAGTGCATGATGCCCAGGCTTCCCATGGACCTTCAGCTGCGTATGGGAATGTGGGTAGGGGCAGAGCTGGGAGCCTCTATCTTCCCTGTACTTATGCAATGGCAGCAGGTTTCTTGCTACAGCTGAAAAGTGTCTCCATGAAGTGGTTCTAGTGGCAGTTCGGAACGTTAAGAGGAAATTCTGGTGCACTATCTCAAAGGCAGCATGAATGCTAATACTCCCAGCTCCACCAGGTCACATTCACTTGTGTGTTTTGTGTGAGCATTTTACCCCACGCACATTAAAAAAAAACCAAAATGCTTTTGAGAAAAAAAGTTACATAAATAAAAATACGGTATAGTATTTCTTTCTAAATACTAAAGATTTGTTTACTGACAAACATTACAAATGACATAAGATTTACAACATTTTATTAGGCCACACACAGCACAGGGTTGTACTATAGCCTCTAGACCAAGGACAAGGTAACAATCGAGAAAAAAATTTAGCACGTACACTTTACTTGTGTAAAGAAAAAAAAATGTGAAATAAGTGAAATGTAAAAAACTAAAAATGGAATAAGGAACTCATGATATTACCATTTCCTTAGGTAGCACTGAAATAGTAAATTTAGAGTACAGGATAATTAAGTTAATGATCTGAGGCAACTGTTATCTCGGCTTTGAAAAACGAAAAGAAAAAAGACTATAAAACAGAAGTCTTTGTGTAAAAATTAGTTTCATTTCAGAGAACATAGCCATACTATATAAAATCAAAATACAAAAACAAAAAAACAAAGCAAGCTCCCATAGTGTATCGAAAATGCATTGTAATTTAGGTCCTTAGAAAACAGTCCTCAGGTAAAAGCAAAGTCAATTTGCACTGGTGAATCTGAAGAGTAGTGGCACATGGCATGTGCTCAATACATTCTTTTTGAATGAATACATGAATAAATGCATGAATGAATCAACAGTTAAAGCAGCTCTAAAACGAAAGCGGTAGCCTCAGAAGGTACTTGTAGAGAACGCTGAGTACCTTCTGGACTGAAAGAGTCTATGACTATAATCCTGTTTCTTGACCTCTCTATCCAATTACTTAATCATTTCAGTGCTTCTACTCTGAACTAGCTCTAATCCCAGGTGTGGATCTCACAAGCTCTACTACAGTCAAATACTTTTAAAGGCTTTTTTGAACAAGGGAGTACAAATTAGTCAACCAATCAATGAACAATTAATTAAAATAACATATTCCATTTTATACATCTGAATATCATGGGCGCTGGCAATTGTGTTTTAGACTTTCACTTGGCTAACAGTAGCAGTCCTCAGAGGAGTCACTTCCTGCACCTGCTTCACTGCACGGGGTCCTTTTATCTCACTCTTGGTGTGTTAACACTGCCAGTCACTTTTTTCCTCCATTATGCATATTACTGTCACATTAATCTTCCTAAAAAAGGTCATACTCCTCACATCATTACTCAAAAGTCATTAGACACCACAATCTCCCTCGGAGGGTGACTCATAAATCCTTATCTCAAGCTCAGATCTCTCCCTGAGTTCCAGACCTGTAACCCTCATCCTCCCCTTTATTCTCCATAGATACCTTAAATATAACCAAACAAATCGAGTATCTACCTCATGCAACCTCCCACAAAGCTGCTCTCCTTGTATTTCACATTCTAATAAATGACACCACAACATATCCTGATCATCATCTTCCCAAAATCTATCCTGACCATCTCCTCTCCAGCATTCATCTTGATAATCATCCTCCCCAAATCTGGAAGTCTTCCCTTTCTTCATCCCCTAAAGTCAATCAGCCACTGAAGCCCACTGACTCCGCCTCCTTAATATCTTCCTATCTGTACCTCTCTGTCTGTCCTCTCTTTTCTATCCAAGGCTGCTCTTAAACTCTCCTTCCCTTCTGTTGAGCCAATCAACAAATTTCTCAAAGTTGGACTCAATTCCTAGTTCCTCCACAAAACCTTCCTTGATTTATCCATCTTATGAATGTGGCACAGTTCTTATTTTTCCACTCAATATAAAACAATGATGTATAGTATCACATGCCAATTTTTGATTGTTCATTTTTTTCTCTATATATTTAGAGAAAATAATTCGCAACAGCCAAAAAGGATACACCATTCGACATTCTCCAAACGTTTTCAGCTAAAACAAAGGAGAATTATCTAAAGCCCTAAGTGTCTTCCTCCTTTTGCAAAATGTTCATTGTGCAAGCAGGACTAGGTTCCACATATTCCACACCAATCTAACCAATGTGATGTGTGATGCAGCAATTATGAAAACACATTTTAAGGATAACACAGACACCCCTTCAGCCAGTTTCTGCTTGGTGATAAATCACTGCAAAGTAGGTTATCTTTACTTTTCTATACAAACTCCCAATGAGGTTATACCTTTTTGTGGAGAGATCCGACTTTTCTCATGGATACCTCTTTGTAATTATACACCATAGAGTATGTATGTATGAATTCTACTTAATGAGTTACTGAATTACATTTAAAAATTCCTTGTGACTAACAGCTCTATGTGGATGTCAAATATAATTTGCCCAAAACAAAACTCTTGAGTCCTTCCTAAATCTGCTCCTCCCTCTAGTAAAGGGCACTACAATTTGCTTCAACTCCACATCTATGAGTACTCTTTGATTTCTCTTTCCCTCAACATCCGTATCAACAACTTCTGCTAATTCTACTTCCAATGATACCTCGAATCCACCTATTTCTCTTCATCTCCAACTCTCAGGTATGAGTCCCCATTCTCTCTTACATGAACTACTAAAAGAACCCCTACCAGCCAGCTCTGTTTACACTCTTGCATCTCCCTACCCCAACCAGTCTCCTTTTCCACCATATTCATCTTTTAAAAGACAAATCATGTCAAACCTTTGCTCACAGTCCTTTAACGGCTTTCCTGTGTACTCATCACAAAATGCACACACCTCATCATCATCTACAAGGGCTCAGTTGGTCTGGCCTTCCCTTCCTCCCTCCCTCCATTCTGGTCACAGTTTCTTCTTGCTAGTCCTTCAACACACCAAGCTTGTTCTCTCCTTAGAGCTTTTGCAGTTGCTGTTCCATCCATATGGAATTCTCTCTCCTCAGGTCATTATAAGGCAAACTCCTTTGGGCACTGAGATTTCAGTTTGAACTGCCCTTCCTTCATAGAGTATGCCCCCAACACTCCTGAATAAAGGAATTTTCTAAGTAATTCTCTATCACAGCATACTGGTTATTGTTTTCCAAAGCTTTTATCATACCATATGCTATTTTCTTGTTTATTTATGTATTTATCGCCTGTGTGACCATCAGGTTCTCTCAAGTTTGAGAAACCTACGAGACACCCTTAGTGCATGACTCCCAGGGTCTCCATGCACCTTCAGCCCCGTATAAAAATGTGGGTGGGCACAGAGCCGGGAGCCTCTGTCTTCCCTGTACTTAGGGGACGGCAGCAGGTTTCTTGCTACAGCTGAAAGTGTCTCCACGCTACAGTTCTGGTGGCAGGACTTCAGTCAAAGTCCCCCTTTGGAATTAAGCTCCACGAGAGCTGTATCCTCAGCAACTGCAACAGTGCCGCGTATGTATCTGGCATTTCATAAATACTTGCTGGATGAAATGAACACATGAATGATTTCCTTTATATTCTTAACCGAATGTGGCATGGTTTCATATTTCTCATTAGTTCTTGAATTATGATCACTGAATTACAAAATTTTTTTAAAAAGCTATGTACCCAACTTGGAATTACAGACAAACTTAAAAGTTCAACTTATTCACTGCATCATGGAAACCCTTGGTATTGACATTACTTATGATCACTGAGCCCAGAGAGACCCCTAGAACACCCCTGTGGCAGCTGCAGAGGCTGGCACTATAGAGGCTGGCACTGCTTTTACTACTGTATCAAACTGATGTGCCCATGGTGCACTAATTTCACTTTTGTGGTGCTCAGTCTAACATATACGAAATCACTGATGAATAGGTAGTAAGGCACAGAAGTATAAACTTTGTTAAGATCAAGCTGGGATGACGTGCAGGTCATTCCCTTTATCAGACTTCTTCCTTAGAAAACACAGATCACTCTGACAAACTCTTCTGCACAAAGCCATGGCTGACTGTTACCCAGCATCCTATTTCCTTTATATTTTTGACAAACTGATTTTATGGTGATATGTTCCAAGTATTTTAGAAAACTGAGTAAAATCCAGGACCAACTCCTTTTAAACAAACATAAGTAATACATAGGAACTTTTTCAATGCCCAGAAATTTCCAGTATTCTCCATAAGTCTATAATATTGAAATGCCCTGCAGTAACTTCCACACGTTTTTAAAAATGTTATAGCAACATTTCAAATTCATTTTCAGCATAACCACCAAAAACACAGAAATGGAGATCCATGTTTTCTCATTATGCTCTGCCAAGAATACAATTCTTCTTGCCCTATGCCCACCACTGCACACCTTAATACTATAAACTACTCAAAGAACAGTCCCTAAAATGAGGCTTTAACTAGACTATTCACCTTCCTGTAAGGGATTCGGGAGCAAGTCTAAATTCGCCAGGTCATCCATCATCATTGCATCTTACCCCTTCTTGGCTTTGCAAAATCACCCATGCCCTGCACAAGCCTCCCTCCCAAATCCCATTCTATGCCTTCTAGAGCTTATCAACAAAATCCTTTCTGCCCTTATTCTTCCCTCTGGACGTTCCCTTCACCTTCTTGCATAAACTGAAACCTAGGTAGTATGTGACTACTCTTTTTCCCTTGAAGTCTTCTTAAATGGGAATGGCTTTATCTCTCACATTCCATAAATCCTGGCAGGGGCATAGGTATCCTCTTTGTTCTCACTGCTACTTTCAGATCATTCTTCCTTTTCCCCTTTAAAAAATAAAACTTTGTCTACTTGAAGCATATGCAATTAGACATCACCAGCCACATAGAGGTGTGGCATTTACCTGCAAAACTTCTGGTTCCATGTCTCTTCCCTGCTACTATTCCTTGGCATCTTTATCATTGGTAGAGGCACTTCATCCTGACTCACCTATCTGACCTCCCAGCCCTAGTGATGTTCTTCACTCCTCTTCAACCAACTACATTTGATCCATGGTAACTTCTAACCCTCATTACAACCAATAATAACTCTGTCTTCAAGTATTCATTTCTACTTACTCCCTTAGCTATCTCACTCCAGTAATTCTTCAATCCCACTAGAACCTCCCCTCTACTCTCCAGATTACTGACTCCCTGATTATGTCTCCTCAGTGTAGGTTACATGGTCAATCACTATAAAGCTCTCTTACATAATTCTCAATCCCCATGACTCCCTCCCTCTCTTTCTATCAGAATGGTCAGGAAAATACTCAACCTGCTACCTCTCTTACCTACACTGCACACCTACATCAGAACTAGAGAAAATCACACAACCATGCTGGCTGGCCTCTCTTCAAAGGCATAACCACTAACCTCAAATAAGCTGTCAGCACCAGTAGGTGACCCTACTACATTTCCCTAGTTAATTCATTTGTCCTTTCCTTTAAAGATATGTTTACATTTTCCTCTTTCTCTTTGATTTTCCACACTCTTCCACCTCAATGTCAGATGATGACCTTGTTTTATACTCCCCTGAGAAACAGAAACAATTTTGTTCTCCTTATTCCTCAAAGTCTTTGCTCCTGCAATCGCCCTTCTTACATTACTGGCTTTTCCTTCTTACTAGATCGTTGCGATCATCATCCAAACATGCTGTAGTATCTCCTGTATTTTCTTAAGCTCTTCTTGACCCTACATTCCCCTAAAACAATTACCCCTATTTTCATTACCATTTTATTACGAGACTCCTCAAGTCTTCCTACGTCTATAACTTGTACTATCATTCTACTATTTCAGGTTAGAAACCCTAGAATCATATTTGTGTAATTTTCATCCTTCCCTTTCCTGCTAGCAGACACCGTAGGTTCTTCCATCAAAATGATGCATATATCCATTTCTTCTTTGCTGTTTTCCTGCTGCCACTGTAGTCCAGTTTCTTGTGGTACCCCATCTAAACAGCTGAAAAGCTCTCCAATGAGCCTCTTGACTGCCATTACTTCCCTCTGCTAATTCATTTTGCATTCCACCACAACCAAAGTCTGCCTGATGTTGACTTCACCATCTTCTTTCTGATTCTGTCTGTTCATAAACCCACAATGATCTCTGATTGCTCATATTACCTGGCTTAAGCTTGTTGCACAATTTTAAGACATTTCATAATCTGGTCCTATCCTGCCTCGAACCTTTATTTCCTATTGTTCACCAACATAAAACTCTGCTCTTTCAGACCAGTTTCCCTAGTGTGTTCCATGTAAGTCATGCAGATTCCCACTTCCACATTTTCTTCTTTCGTCCATGTTGACCTCACTCCTGAAATCCATCATCATCACTATTCTAAATTGTTTAGACTCTACCCTCCATGATACCTTATCATACAATTCAAAATCATACTTTCTTGGCACTGAGGTCCTATAGCATTCCAAGTCTCTGTCACTATTAATGATGTGGATATTTATTAAGTATGATTTTATCACTAATTCTTTCATATACAATATATACCTGAATGTAAGTACACTTTTTCCTTCAAAATTCCTTCTCAGAAAAGGGAAATCCCCTAATCCTGATTTCTCACAAGATCTCACATACTGCCTGGTGCTTTATTTTGAATAACAAAGCACTGTTTGTAGAAGATACATTAACCTTAAATGACCTCAACTAATTCCACATTTGGATTACATAGAAGCCATCTGAAATAATAAGTTGGAAAATAACAGGTAAAGAAATTCAATCAGATACAGTAATTATTCCTGTGGGAATGATCTCAAAATGGGAAATGCTGGATCTCACAAACACCCTTTTTAGAATCACTTTAAAAATCAATAAAGTTAATCTCCACATTGCAAAGATCATAAATACACGCCTAACTAATTACAAATGCAACTGTCCTAATTTTATGTGAAGAGATACCGGGTTTTGGGACAAAACTTCCTGTGATAGCATCATCCTTAGATTCAAAATCTGCTGCATCTCAAACAACTTAGGTGGCAGTGAAGAGGGCATGTTCAGGAGCAGGGCATTAAATGACCTGGAAGGGGGCCTGAGTAGAGATAATGATAGCAATGGTGAGGCATTCACCATTCAGGACAGTTTCCTAAAAATGTAAGAATGGCAAAAAGTAGTAATTCTAAATTGCTGTATGACTTTACATGAGTTTAAATGTGTATGCACAGTTAAATTATTAACTATATAAACAGACATGTGATCACATCATCTATATCCCTAAATGTTTACATACTGAAGTTGGCAAAATACTCTTTTATGGCAGGCAATGGGTGTGGGGAGCAAAGGGCAACTGAACAACAGAAATGAGTTAGGTAACCAGTGGTATTGTTTAAGTCATGATGTGACAGGAAAAATACTTGGTGTGGTTAGCAGTAGCACTGATACTCATCAAATGCGTGGAAGCTCAGTTTCCCAATGTTCAAGTTCAAGGACTGGACTAAATGTTCTCTAGGATCCTCTGCAATTCGCAAATGTTATTTCTATTGTTTTCTACTCTATTCTTTTCTAATGACTCAGGAGCACTGGTAAATACAAAGAGAAATGTTATTTTGTAGGCTACTGCAAATTTCTTCTTCCTTACCATTTAATATAACTTGGAAACTAAGTACATTTCCAAAACTTCAGTCCTGCTTTACTGACCTTATAAGCTTGATTTTTGGACTTTAAGAATCCTTGGTATTAGATTACCAACCATTCCATCTTACAATGACATCATTTTAGAGATAAGAGGTATATTTAAGAATGTCTCTTTCAGCATCTTTTTCCCTCAAGAAGAAACCAGGGGCTACGAGAGTTTAATGCTGCTCAGCGGCAGAACTGAGACCCAAACCCAGGCTTTACTCCTTCTGAATTCTGGCTATGAGCCATGACACCAAGCTCTGGGTACTCCACAGGAGATTACTGTGGTGATGAGTCATATTTTCAATTTCTTGAAGTGTTTTCTCAGTTGTATGTATGAATATACAAAAGTTATGGGCCATATCAGTATAATTTTCTTATTACTTGAATGCAATTTCTGACTTTTCTCCAGAGGTGAAGTGCCTAATGATCCCTCCACGCCCTATGTGATTCCTGCCCTCCAGTAAAACCAACCTAAGCCTTCAATCATCACTGTATAACTCTCCCATTTCTGCTAAAGAGATAACTCTTTCATGCCAGATGAGCCGCATTTCTAATTAGAAGACTCTCCTCATGGAGCACCATCCTACGGTAAATCAAACGGAACGGACCTGGAGACAACAGATGCTGATCTCAAGCACACCGCTTGTGAAATCATCCATTATGCACAGGTGGCCTAGGAGGGCTGACACAGAGGGCCCCGCTCACACCACTACAGCACCGCCATTCCATAGCGTCTTGGAAACACACACATGACATCAGCACCTGGTAAACTTCATGTATCTTAGTTGGGATTATA